AATAGCACAATGGAACAATAAAAGAAATGTTCATGGCACATGCACTGCTCTCTCGTAGAAATCCCACAATGCAAAGCAAAGCATCTATGAGATGCAAAACGAACTGTTGCTTGACTCTTACAACTGTGAGAAATGAGGCAGAATCGTTTTTTGTATGTTAACTTGTTCGTAAAACTGCATTTCTGTGGCAAGATACTGATGCTGTGGCTCAGGAGGTGGTGTGGGTTGTCCCCTAACAAGAATGCTGGTAGTTCGATCCCAGTCTCCCCCAATTCTGCATGCCAAAATGTCCTTGGGCAAAATACCGAACCCCAAATTGCCCCTTGATGGCTGTGCCAGAACTGTATGTCCATTTATTTTCAATTTCTCCCATAGTGTAGGAACTATAGTGAGCAGGCTGCCCTATTTGCCAGGGAGCCTATGTTTACAGTATAAGTCAGCACATCTGTAAGATGAGCCAAGACGAAAGTACAAAGCACAAATTGAATCGTAAAGCACTCATCTAATAAGACAGTTCCTGAGTGGGCAGTGGCATATTTGGTGGTATGTCCTCTGAGGTGCAGTGATACTGCAGCTGAGATGAGTTTGAAGTGTGTGAGTGGCTTCAGAGAGGTGTTCTGCTACACAAGAGAAGTGCAGCTCTTAAATCTACCATGTGTACAAAACACGATATGAGAATTAGAGCTGCGGAATATTTATATATCAATTTTCCAGTTCGAGCACTCAAAGTATTTTACACTACAAGGCACATCCACCCATTCACACAGCGCTACATGCTGTGCTTCTATTGTGCTTCTATTACACACTGCCGGCACAGCCACCAGGGGCAATTTAAGGTTCAGTATATTGCCCAAGGAGACTTCGGCATGTAGACTGAAGGAGCCGGGGATCGAACCACGAACCTTCTCGTTAGGGAATGATCTGCTCTACCTGGATTAGACTTGCACCACGGAGGAACACCAACCCCTTTTGTTGAATTCTTTTATACTTGACAGAAACCTGAGAAAATCCGCTGAGGTTGTGTGAGCCTGTTGTCTAGCAGCTGTAGACACACATACTTCACTAGCCTCAGTGATCACCCTGGAGAGCTGTGTGTGCATTAAAACATATTAATGGTGTGTATCTCTAAAGATGAGCTGCCTTGTGTATCAGGTTTTTAATTTAGATGTGACAAAACACCAAATAGTTTGTTGCATTTATCCCTGAAAGTCTTTTGACGAACAGCTTTTTTTGACAGCAATTTGTTTATTTCCAGAACACTCAGCTGTCATTTACACATGTTCCGCAGCCAACGACAGTTCCCCTTCACATTATTTCCAAAAGACATTTCTATGGCCACCTTGACTTAAGTGCTCGCCCTGATGACTTTGACCGGATCAAGAGATATACACACAGCTCACACTGTTTTTATCTTCAGCCACAAATACACTGTGATAGCAAGTACACGCACATCTGTCTCCTGAGCTTATACAGCGTACTTAAAGTTAACAGAGAACTGGTTTAAACTCCATTTTTCATTTCTTCCTCTTTCTTAGATCAGTGTCACCTCTGGTGTGAAATTCTACCATTGGCTTCTTCTGTTGTCATGAAAAGAGCACCTGACGCTGTGTTTAAAATCCAGTGGAACTTGTATTTTGGCCAACAGATATAAATGAACACATGATCAATACTTTTTAAAAATCTCTTTTTACGCTTCCCTCTCCCAACAAAAACTAACATGGGAGAGAGGTTTTCAAGCCAAAAGTCAGAACTAAAGTGAAAACAGTGAGACAGTCTTGCAGTTTGTCTCATTGTAACGAATAAGAAAGAAAGAGGAGAAAGAAAAGAAAAAAACAGAGGACTGAATAACCTCAGCTGGACTCCTTACAAATAATCTCAATAACATAAATAACACATTACACCATGTTATCCTTGTAATTGTTATGAGGACTTTCTATGCTATTTCATGCATCTACAGTTTTTCTAGTGAATGCTTTTTCCAAGTTATATTAAAAGTTTGAAGCTGCACATTTAATTTAAAAGTGTGGTGGCAGAGAATTGTCACCACTTTGCGACCTGCAGCTTAAATGTGTTGGTACATTAACATCTTATCATTCTCATCAACCTTGTTTACAGCCTCCAGTGGCTGTTTTAAACAAAGTGCTACAGCACTGATAGCAAAAAAATATTAGAATTAGTGGCTGAAAATACAGATGTTATTCTCACTAATTGGTGGAAACAAAAACAGAGATAATATTAGAGTCGAATATTAATGTTAACCTCCTCAAGTGGACACAGACACTATTCCACATTTGCTGGATGTATAAATACACAGCTTTTAACAGCTGTTGTGGCTGTGGCTCAGGAGAAAGCATGGGTCGTCCACCGACCACAAGGTTCACAGTTCGATCCCAGTCATCCCGATTATGAGTGCTGAAGTATCCTTGGACAAGATACTGAATCTCCTGATGATTGTGTGTGTTTGATTCATGACAGAGAAAGTGATGCACTGTATTAATGTGTGCATATAAAACAAAATTATACAGTAAAGAGTGGTCAACTCAAGACTAGTGACATATAAATACAGACCATTTGTTTTACACGGTGGCTAAAAACAGTAGAATCATATTACTAATAAATAACTTCTACACACACAATGCAGGGGGGGGCGTCACTGGGGCCATTACAGTCATTACGTCACCAGTACAGAATGCTGGTGAGTTAATCCTGAGACTTTCTGACTCTTTCTTCCTCCATGCATCATGTCTTGTTCGAGGGAGCCCTCTAGCTGTAGCTGCTGCAGCAATCTACACGATATCAGAACACTGAAGGCACTGAAACAAATCTCAGGCTTGGATTGAACTGACATTAAGTATTTTATGTTTTACTGGTAAGAACCACTGGATTATGAGATACTGAAAGGACACAGGCAGAGAGATGATGTGACACGTAACATCTTGTGATTTTCCACATGATTAAGGAAACTTCGACTTAAACATATTGATTTTGCAAATATAAACTCTGCATAGCTGTGAGGATGGAAGACGAGCTGATGAGTATTTATTTCCGTGTCAGGGCTTAATTTCTAATCTGGGACTCAGACAATTGAAATTCCTGTAATAATGATGATTTAAAGTCCCTGGCGGGGAAATAACAGAGCAACAAAACAAAGCAGTGTAGAATCCCTCCATCCGATGCTTCAAACAGTGGAGTGACACGGCTAAATACATGCTCATTGGTCCATGTTGGTCTTCTGATTTAACTGCTGTGATCACGGTTAATCCACAGCTCTCATGCTAGCATTAGGTATCGTATACATGAGTGACAGTGGAGAGGATGGCTATTTTAACGCAGGATGCAAATGTCAGCAGGCGTTCTGCTGGGATCTGCCCTGATCTCTGCAAACAGTTGCTCAAATCTGAGGCTAGCCTAACACACAGGGGGGGACTTAGATAAATCACAAAGCTAATTAGCACTACAAAGCTTAGAGCAGTCTGCTAATACAGCAAGGGCCATGATGAAAGTTTCCATTCATTCGAGTTGATATCAGACAGACGGCTATGAGACGTGGATACGGACTGATTATTGTGTGGGCTGCTGGAAAATGCCAATAAGATTTCCATGTCATTAGACGTCATTAGATTGCAGGAAAAAAAACAGACAGAGCATCTGCTTCACACAACTTTATTCTGCTACAGTTTCACTGCAAAACAATGAGGCTTGTTCACTTTACCGAGCCTCTACTCGTACTAAGCACTTGCAACTTGAGGATGTGGCATCACTGCCAGGTCTACTCAGATTCAGCAGCCTGAGAAGGAGAGAGAGGAAAGAAAGGAGAGGAAATATATGTGACGGTGATATTGTGACCATTGAGATTTCCGATTTAATCTCCACCAAGGAAGTTATGTTTTCGTTTAGTTGTTAGTCAGCAAGATTACAACTTCTCGACGGATTATCATTAAACTTGGTTGGAGGATGCGATACGGGTCAGGGAAGAGAACATTACATTTTGCCATGGAACTGGTTGAAGTCAGATCCAGGATTGTTTTTATTTATAAACCATAACATAACAACTGCAACCACTGATATGTTCCTGTTCATCTGTAAGCTGCCATTGTGCTCTGACACAATTTGTCCATCCAACCATTATCTATTAGGCTTATCCTTTGAGAGTCGTGGTGCTGCTGGAGCCAATCCCAACTAACATTGAGTGAGAGGTGGTGTGCACCCTGGACAGGTCAGTTTAATGATAATTGTTGATACGATGATCAAACTGAAAAAGAATTGAAACAAAGAAAAACTAAAATAAACTTGTGTTGATAGTTACCTTTGCAAAGTCTCGGCTCTTGGTTCTCATCTTGTTGACCTGGGACTCAGCGATGTCTGCTCGCTCCTCTGCCTCCTCCAGCTCATGCTGCACCTTCCTTAGTTTAGCAAGGTGAATGTTGGCCTGCTCCTCCTGTAGGAACAAAAACAAGCTTTGGTTTAAATATTATTAAAAAACATAGTAACTTCCTTATTTGATGAGAAGGTCTTACAGCTTCCTCATTGTGCCTCTTGTATGCCTTGACTTTGAGTTGCAGCTTGTCCACCAGGTCCTGAAGTCTCAGAACGGTCTTCTTGTCCTCTTCAGTCTGGTAAGTGAGCTCCTTAACTCTCCTCTCATATTTACGGATTCCCTTGATGGCTTCCGAGGCTCTTTTCTGCTCGTTCTCCACTTCACCCTCCAGTTCACGCACCTGCAAGAGAAAATCAAGACACCCGACATCCAACATCAGTTACTGTTTCAATGACGCTACAGAAATCTCACATGAATGAGTGTGATACCCGAGTTTCCAGTTTCTGGAGCTGCTTCTTGCCCCCCTTCAAAGCCATGTTCTCAGCCTCGTCCAGACGGTGCTGCAGATCCTTCACAGAAACCTCCAGGTTCTTCCTCATCCTCTCCAGGTGGCTGCTTGTGTCTTGCTCTTTCTTCAGCTCCTCTGCCATCATGGCCGCCTACATCCATTGTGTTTAATTCAAAATGTGTCATTAATCACACTGGATCTCACAACAACACAGCCTGAACTACTAAGGCTGCTTGATGATTGCCATTTCTTAAAGTTTCTAATCACACCATTTGGAATTGTAATTGCTGGATATAATTAGAGGGAAAACTTTTGATATTTACATCAGTGATGGCTTTCTTAGCTTTTTCCTCTGCATTGCGGGCCTCTTGAATTGCATCCTCCACCTCACCCTGCAGCTGGCTCACATCAGCATCCAGCTTTCTCTTGGAGTTCAGAAGACTGGTGTTCTGCAGCCAAATGACAGTGAAGAAACTGATTGAATAAAATGTACATATACCCACAATTCACAGTTATGCCTTTAAAAAGAACAGCACAGAGGATATAAAGTTACAAAATTTGAATAACTCAACTGTATCTGTACATAAAAAGAATTGCAATTTACACAAATTGCAGTTCACGGCTCGGAACACGGCTCCTTCCTTGCAACCATTAGACCAAAACAATCAAAATATTAAAAATGTAGAACATACCACACCCTTCCAGCGTTCTGGATAACAGGTTTGCATATTTTTCTTTTAGCTCCTCTTTTGGTCTCCACCAGTTCCTGAGAAATGTATTTGACTCTTCGACAGCTAGAATGCTACAAACATGCTTCTAGAGACAAGGCTCACCTGAGAGTGAAGCAGCCCGACTCTCTCAGAGGCATCAGTGAGTTCCTGTTCAGCTAATTTGCGGCCTCTTTCCGACTGTTCCAGCGCAGCCCTGAGCTCCTCCACCTCTGCCTGCAAAAGGCTGCTCCTGCGCTCCACCATGGATACCTGCTCCTTCAGGTCCTCCTGGCTGCGCAGGGCATCATCAAGGTGAAGGGTTTGCTCCTGCAGGGAGAAATAATGATAAAAGTTCTATGATCGATCCAAAATGGGTTTTAAAAGTTATTCTAAAAAGAGGTGTTGAGCAATATTTCACTTTAAGGTGGGCTTGCATATTCCTCAGCTGCTTCTGGGCTTCAGCAGCCTGCCGATTGGAGTGGCTCAGCTGGATCTCCATCTCATTGAGATCAGTCTCCATCTTCTTCCGGACTCTCATGGCATCATTCTTGCTGCGTGTCTCAGCATCCAAAGCTGACTGCATGGTTTCCACAATGCGCTGGTGGTTGCGTTTCATCTGCTCCAGCTCCTCATCCTTCTCTGCCAGCCTGCGATCGACCTCTCCCTTGACTTGAGTGAGCTCCAGCTGGATGCGGAGGATTTTAGATTCCTCATGCTCCAGAGAGGCCTGAGGTATTGATTAAGGTAAATAATCTGAAATCTAAAAGATCTGATTGCAAGAAGTATTCTTTTTTTTAATATCACAGAGACTTACTTCAGCCTCTTCCAGAGCATTCTGGATCTCCGTCTTCTCAGTTTCTGTTTGTTTTTTAGTCTTCTCCAGCTCATGGATGGCTTTGCCATTTTCTCCAAGTTGTTCAGTCAGATCGAAGATTTCCTCTAAAAATACACATGTGTATCAAATACTAAGACTATAAACAACAATTCAGTAATTAATTTTTTTAACAAAATTTGTATGCTTACAAAATCACCCTTGGCACTATTGATGTTTATTAATAATAATCATATATATCTTTTTTTTAAATCGTAGGATATGAAGGATAAACCTTTAGAAAATAGCATTGTAGTATTTTGTAGTAATATACACACGTTGCAGGTTTTTATTCTCTCGTTTGAGAACCTCAAGGTGCTCCAAAGCTTCCTCGTAAGAGTGCTTAATCTTGAAGAGCTCCGTGCTGAGGGAGCGAGACTCCTTCTGTGATCCATCCAGCTCCGTCTGACACTCCTCATACTTCTGCTTCCACTCAGACAGAATCTAAGGAACAGAATAAAAATATTGGTTCGGATAAAAATGGTCACTCGCGGTTGATTCTTCTCTGACCTACCTCATGACAAGTGTTTAAGGCTGCAAATGTAAACAGCTTTTTTAACTAGGTATGTGTTGAGTTTAAAGAATAGCTTTGCACAGTTTTTGAGAATATCAATATAGTAGATTTGGTTTGTTAGTATTGGTGAACTGTACTTTAAACAATTTATTTAATACTTAACACACATTTATTGAATTGTATTAAAGAATTTAGCATAATAATGTCATAATATTAATAATCATTTGCATGCCTTTGTTACCTTATCAAAACTTCTCTGCTTTTTATCCAAGACAGCTGCTTGAGCATTTGCCCTTTCCACATCGATCATCAGGTCCTCCACCTCTCCCTGCAGCCTCTGCTTCGTCTTCTCCAAAGACGAGCACTTTGCATTCACAGCCTCGATGGCCTCCTCAGCCTCCTGCAGACGTTGAGCAAGCTTTTTCCTGCAAATCATAAATTGAAATACCAATAATTGTTGTCATGTTTTACATTTTAAATATCTAACGTATTTGCACAGTATTAAAACAACTCTCACTTGGCTTCTTCCAGCTCATCATTACGCTGGATGGCATCAGTCTCATATTTGGTTCTCCATTGTGCGATCTCACTGTTGGCCTTGGACATTGCTCTCTGCAGCTCAGCCTTGGCCTCCTGCTCCTCCTCGAACTGCTCTCTGAGCAGATCACAGTCGTGACGAGCAGATTGCAGGGCATGGGCAAAGGCATTTTTAGCCTAAAGAAAATGCAAATATGAATGGATATTTTAATTAAATAAATGTTTATTTAATTTGAATTCATCTGCAAGTGTATCTGTATATGTTAAATATGAAGCTAGAGTCAACAGGCAATTGTCTCAGCCAATGACCTATTTATAATAGGCATATATTTATTTTGTCATCTAACTCTCTGCATGACAGATAATCGATGTCTTTCTAACAATGTTGAACTATTATTTTAATGTGCCTTGGTAACCACAGTGGAAGGAAAATGTGTGTTAAGTTGAAAAGAAGTTTGAAAAATTGAAAACCTAGCAGAGATTCCAAGTTCGAATAAGCAAAGGCTCTGGCTAACCAGTTAGTACACTGACCTTCACAGATCATTAATGTAACACTGAGTGCAGTAGTGCAACAAACCTTTGATTCTTCTTCAACCTGCCTCTTCAGTTCCTCAATTTGCTGAGTGAAGGCGAGCTTAGTCCTGGACATCTGAGAGAGTATCACCTCTTTCTCCTCAAGGAGATGAGAGAACTCCCCTGATCAAGAGATGTTAGATAGAAACATTGGAAAAGAGACAAGTCTTTATAAGTCTGTTAAATACGATACAGTCAACCAGGTGCTTACCATTTTCATTCTGAAGTCTTGCCATTTGAGTATTTATTTCAGTGATCAGACGAGTGTTCTCATCATGTTTTGTCCTGTATTCGCTCAGTTGGTCTTCCAAAGAGTGGCACAGCTTCTCATAATTAGTCTGATATCATTAAGAAATAAATCAATTAAACTGTTTAGCATGTTATTTTTAGTACACCCACTTACTATACTGGTGTTGCTTACCTTTGCCTTGACCATGACCTCTATGTTGCTGGACAGGTCGTCAATCTCCATCTTGTACTCACTCTTCTCCTTATCCAGCTTCTGCTTGACTCTCTGCAGAGCGTCGATTTGCTCTCCCAGCTCAGCCACACTGTCAGCATGTTTCTTCCTCAAAGCTGCAGCAGTGGCCTCATGGTGGAGTGTTGACTCTTCAAGGTCCCGTCTCAGTTTCTGAAACTCAGTCTCTCGCTTCTTGTTCATCTCTATCTGAGCAGCGGTGGCTCCTCCGGCCTCCTCCAGCCGCTCACTGATCTCCTCCAGCTCCCTGGAAAAATCACACCTTTGCTTTTCTACTTTAACTCTGGCTGCACGTTCCACTTCAATCTCCTCTTCCAGCTCTTCAATACGAGCCTAGGCAAACCAACCAAAATCAATCAAAATGTAATCCTTTGACTTTATGGAATTTCAATTTTTTAATTTCTTTTTTTTCAACTACCTGAAGTTCCTTGATCCTCTTCTGAGATTGTACAGTCACACTCTGCTCATCCTCAATTTTGGCAACAAGTTGGCTGAACTCAAAGTCTTTCCTGTTATACACAATCATATCATGTGTTTAGAGGAGTTGTTAAGTATATAACATTATTTTCAGCACTGATGCATCCATGCATACTTTTTGAGGTGTTCCTCCAGCTGTTGTTTGTCATTTTCCAGATCCATTATGGATTCCTGGGTAAGTTTAAGATCTCCTTCAAGCTTCCTTTTACCCCTCTCGACATCCATCCGGACCTTCTTCTCTTGTTCCAGAGAGCCCTCAAGCTAACACATGCAAACATTTTCAGCAAAATTCGCAAACCACATATGCAATGATTTCAAAATGCTTGTGGTCATAGACCTACATCATCAACTTGTTGCTCCAGCTTGATCTTAGCTTTAGTCAGACAGTTGACTTTGTCTTCCTCTGCTTGCAGGTCATCCAGTGTCTGCTGATGAGCTTCCTGAAGTGCCAACTTCTCTTTGGATAATTTGACGATTGTGTCATCAAGAGAGGACATTTCCTCAGTCAGATTCTTCACCTGAATGTGTAAAAAGAAGTAAATGTTTTCGTAAATGTGGTCGGTTTGACGGTTAGATGATTGTCCAAAGGATAAAAATAGTACCTTGTTTTCAGTAGCATGTTTTTCCTTCTCTACTTTAGCCAAGGTGAGTTCCAAGTCATCAATGTCTTTCTTCAGCTCAGAGCACTCATCCTCCAGCTTCCTCCTCTTGGCAGTCAGCTCAGCATTCACCTCCTCCTCGTCCTCTAGTCTCTCACTGAGTTCTTTGGTTTTGGCCTCCAGTAAGATCTTGTTCTTTATCAGTCCTTCACACCTTTCTTCTGCATCTGCCAGGCTCTCACTTTCCTACTCAATAAAAAATGCATATCCATTTTTGTAGCATGCAGCTCTTCTTACATATGACTTACTTTAACACATATGTTTTGCAACAACTCACAGATTGAATATGCAGACTTAAGTCATTCTTCTCCTGAATCAGGGAAACCATTTTGGCTTCCAGCTCTTTCTTCTTGGCCTCAGCTTTGGCTAAATCCTCCTTGCACTTGGCAAAATCCACTTTCATAATGGCCATCTCTTTTTCAGTCTCAGCACTCCTCAAGAGTGGTTTGATCTTGAAGTAGAGCTTCATCCATGGCCAGTGTTTTACATTCATGAAAGAGCGAATGTTGTACTGGATAATGTAGATAGATTCTCTGAAAAGTGATGGAGTTATTGGTTCAACATGTTTTAGCAAACATGCAATGCATAAAGTCCTACAATCTTTTTTGTCAATGAAACTGACTGAGTATCTTTGATCATATACCATAATATTTATTACCTTCTCTCCATCATTTTCTTAAACTCCCTCCTTCTGAGAAAGCCACGGCACAAGGCTTGAGTAATGGTGATGAGGGAGGCCAGTCTTTCATCCCTCATTTCTTCCAGTAAGCCCAAGAGTCCTGCTTTGAAGAACACCTACAGAAAAAACTAATTGTCATTATCGTTACTGTACTACAAATCAACACATCTCTAAGTCCTAACATCCTTTTTTAGTTTTTTAGTCTGATGGGTCTGATGGGTTAATGGGTTAATTCCTGTTATATATAATACCTTTGCTCACTTTCTCACCTCAACACATACAGTTACAAAGCTTCTCATGAACAACCCTCACTTATGCTGATAGATGGTCCAACACGTACTCTGTTTGAAATATACATACGACTTTTGTCCCATTAACACTAATTTACCTTGGTATGCCCAAACTTATACTGCGTGTGATCCACATCAATAGACCCCAGGAGCTTTTCAGCAGCTTTCTTGTTGTCAATGAATTGTCCCTCAGGAATCACACTAGCATTCAGCACTTTGTACCTAGAAGAAAAAGTCTGATGAAATTAAATTTATTCACTGATTCTCACATATTTCTCTCCTCTTTGTTTTTTTTTTACCTTTGCTTGAAATCCCCATACAGAATTCTACTGGGGAAACCCTTCCTGCAGATTCTGATTCCTTCCAGAACTCCATTACATCGCAGTTGATGGATAACCAGATGGTGTTCCATAATACCTCAAAGTCAGCCAAAGCAATGTCATAATCAAGCTGCCTGATAAACTATGTATGTCCAATAAAAAGTGCGTGTAACATTAGGCGAAATACCTGGAGTTTTAGTTTCATTTGGAATCAGACACCGGACAAAGTGAGGATGGGTGCTCCTGAGATTAGTCATCAGCTTTCCCAGGTTCTCCTGTAAAGGATTATTATTGTCATTATTTCACAATCATCACCACCTAATATTATTATAGTCTGCAGTTACCCTGAAGAGGGCTGACACAGTCTGGAAGGACGAGCCCTTCTTCTTTGCTGCTTTCTTAGCAACTCCACCACTTCCTCCACCAGTGCTTTCTAAAAAAAAAAAACTTTTATAATTTGCTCAAGTAGGACCCTCAAAAGAACTAAAGGTTTAGAATTTAAACAGATTTACCATCTGATGAGGAGTAGGTAGAATAGAGGAACGCTAATAGTTTGAGGCCGGCTTTCTGGTACAGCTGGACCACAGTCTCATTCAGTGGGTCCTTGTTCTTGTCTAGCCAGCCCGTGATGCTGTAGTCCACAGTGCCAGCATAGTGCACCAGGGAGAAGTGAGCCTCAGCCTTGCCTTTGACAGGCTTGGGCTTCTGGAAGTTGCTTGATTTTCCAAGATGTTGGTCATACAGCTTGTTTTTGAAGGTGGTGTCTGATGCCTTGGGAAACATACACTCCTCTTCGAGGATGGAGAAGATGCCCATTGGCTGTTGAAGGTGGTACAAAACAAATGTTAAACATAAACATTAGGCATTATCCATAATGTTTTGTAATATTATGTATGCTTAAGACAAACCTTTTCAATAAGCTCTATACAAGCAGCCAAGTCCATCCCAAAGTCAATGAACTCCCATTCGATGCCTTCTTTCTTATATTCTTCTTGCTCCAGCACGAACATGTGATGGTTGAAAAACTGTTGCAGTTTCTCGTTGGTGAAATTGATACACAGCTGTTCCAGACTGTTATACTGAAAAACAAACCATTTTGAATGTAATCACCATGATTGATATTGACTTCCAGTGAATGCACTGCTCAATGCTAACTCACGTCAAAGATTTCAAACCCAGCAATGTCCAGGACTCCTATAAAGAACTGTCTGGGTTGTTTGGTGTCTAGCATCTGATTAATGCGATAGACCATCCACAGAAACATCTTCTCATAGACCGATTTGGCCAAAGCACCAATGGAGTTGTAGACCTGCACAATGACATGCTCCAGTAAGATTGCAACACATTTGGGAAATAAAACCTCTAAACAA